AGCAGAATATTATGCTGATTTATAAAAATCAAAAGACTCAATTAAAATATTCTGCTTCGGAATAAGGGATTAAAATGCGTGTTGCCTTTGAACAAATGATAAAGGTGAAATTAGTAAAATTATATTTTATTTGATGGAAAAATTATGTTTTTAACGACTTAAAATAATGTAAAAATAATATTTTGGGAAACGTTAATATAGTTGTTGAATATAAATAATTATTTATAGTGGTATACGTTAAATGAATTACCCGGTATATTATATTTATAAAAGTGAAACAATAAAGCACTCATAGTCAATTGTAAGTAACGCAAGTAAAAGTGAACAGTACCCAGAGGTATAATATTCAATATTGGTATCCCAACTGTGCACGCCGTGAATACGATAATGCCACCATAATAATAATATAATTAAAATATAAACTACAAATTGTGTAGATTATAACACTCATATCTGTGCATTTTTATCTGTTAAGACAAAACATTAATAATATAATATCTTTCGTATTTTGTTGTTGGTAATCATTTTAGATTCTGAGCAGAGTGATAAATGTATTGATTTTAAATTGATATGTGTTTATCTTTTTTTTATTTGTGTCTGTGTACACAATAAGTAGTCGAAATAATGCTTCGATTTTCAACTTCAGTATCGTTTCTGATGGGAAAGTGAATTTAGTTGGCGCATATAGGAGGTCAAAATGAAAAATTCCCAGAAATTTTCGAAAGTGCCAGGAAAAGCAAACACACTCTTTATAATGTCAAACATTTTCGGTCTCAAGCGATTCTGTTATAAAGAAAGGTTTTTTTTTTTTTTTTTTTATTGGGTCAAAAAGCATTAACATTTAATACAAGGCTTCTGAAATATTATTGCAATTTACAATAGATGTTAAACAATTCATTAACAAAATGTATCAAATTGATAACCAACAAATTATTTTTGTGGTTTAAATGTTCAACTTTTATAAGTAAGAACCACAAATTTAAAATAATAAAGTTGTACACAAACAGTTAATTATGTAATTAAAAAACAAAAAATACATAAATGTAGTTATTTTCTAGTTATTTTATGTTCAAATTTGGAAAAAATTACATATTAAATAACCGAGCATAATGATTTAAGTTGTTTTGTTGTAATTTGAAAATATTATTCGTGAGAACTTGAAACTCTTAGAGTATATTATATTACATTTTATATGCACAGTGACTTTTAAAATATAATTTTTTGGTAAAAATTAATTTAACCTACTGTTGTACTAATGCTTAAAAGTAAAATTAATTACTTTAATCACAATAACATCATCAAATAAATTATATAAGTAAGTAATATTAAAGGCTGACAGACGGTCTTCGCTCAGGTCGTTTTTCGTATACAATTTTTTATACCATTGAATTCAAATTTAACACCATCCATCACAGTGACCCACTTGTAACTTACTGCTCAGCAGAGTGACATCCACTTAACAGCTTTTTTTATCGATGATTTTTTTACATCCATCTTTAATCGACAAAAAATTTGTTAATACTATAATATATATAATATATATTATATGGCCGTATAATAAATATGCAAAGTAATTAAGTTAGGTTAAAAAAATATTATTACAATTCTTCATTTGTACCTGTAAATGTAAGTCGAGAATATATTTTTTGTATAACAGTATATTATTATTTATTATTACTGCACTTATATGATAAAGGTGAACAAGAGGTTGTTGAACTGAAGTTAGAGGCAAGTAAGCATGTATTTCAAGAACAAGTTTGCAGGTTTCTAGTTAGCTGCAAGTGGATTAAATTATATTTAGATCGACAAAAAAATTCAGTATAGAAAACGATAATTAATGTAACTAATAATTTTCAGTCAATTATTATTAATTCTATCAGAACAAATAAACAGTTCACAAAATAATTTTCAATTGCTTGAAAACGAATGGTGATTACTGATATTACGCACTACTTATTTAAACATTTTTTCTGCCATTTTTTTCACATTTCACTGGATTTTTTCATGTCCGCTAATGGACATTTAAAACTTTTAAGGTCATCTTAAACTATTTTTTAGCTAGAAGGCAGCCGCTGTCGCTTTCTTGCGTTAGTAGGAAATCAAAATAATATTATTACCACACGTGGTCACGCGTAATATACCTAGGTAGTGGAATAAATTAATAATTATTATTAACAGTTTAATGCGGTGTTTGTGACATTGTGTACACAAAATGGTGTTATTTGTTTTATTTGTACTTACATATATGGCTATTCCTAAAACAGAAGGTTAATTTATTTAAAACTAGCATTATAATGTTTGAAGAACATACCTACTTAATAGATGAGTCTTGGTAATAGTTGGAAAAATATTATAAATAATAAAAATATAATGATAATATCGTAGCCGTTTTCCATTATAATTATTATGTGTGTTGTTGAAAAAAGAATACATTTGTTAAATAGACGCAATTCATATTTTCGATAATATAGCGAAATAAAATTTGTTTTGATATTGTTTCTTGTAAAAAGTCAAAAAAAAAATTTATAAACTTTCAACTGATAAATTAACCCGTGAAACTGAAAAATTAAATAGATTGTTTTTATTATTTTGGAAATTTTGATTCTAAAATCCACCAAGTTAAAATTTAAAAATGTTTTTGAAATTTTAGGTTTTAATGATTTTACTATGTTATACATTATTTAATTACTGTATACACTGTTAAAATAATATTTAATACTATAATTTTTGACAAGTTTCTTGATAAAATAATACTATAAATATACAAAGCCAAAAAATACTCTTTAAGTGATCCACGTACAAACTAAAAAAAGTTGATTAACTTTTTTTAAATCGAGCTTCATAGAGTTAATATTTTTAAGTTTAGAGTGAGTTAAATTTATTATTTGGTTATTATTAAATTTTGAATTGATGATCATATTGTGTTCACTTCACTCAATTTAACTGGAATTAATTGTGTTGCAAATAATATAATATTATACTAATTGTGACATACATAGTTATGTCAAGCGTTCGCTAACTCCTAAATACCTTTTTGAATTATTGATTTAACATGCAGCAAATCAATTGTAAAATGATTACCAATAAATGACAAATTTAATGAACACGTCATAAAAGATGAATCTTAACGATCGCGGACGTCTGCACCGGTGCTCTAATTTAATGAGAATAATATTGAATTCAAATCAAATTAATATTATGAGTAATTATCCAAGTATTATTCAAGGTCGCCCGTAATTACATGTCTCTCATAATATCATTATAATACTTGTCCGGCCTTTTTTTTTTTGTTTTCGTCACCGTTTGTAGGTCATTATATTCAAATCAGTGGTTATGAATCAAATTGACGACGAGGTGACGATATTATCATATAATATAATATTGAAATCAATATTCTATACTATTACAATATTATGAGTTTGTTTGAATGGAGCTAATCTCAGAAATGGGTGGACCGATTTCATTAAAAATTAGATCAATAGATTTCTTAGATATAGCTTCCTTTTTCCGACCCTAAGAATGTGGTTTTGGCTTACGAAAATTGAATCATTTTTGGTTTTCATATGTAGGATAGCCATTGCCTATTAGTAACCTACAAAAAAAAATTGTTATACTGAGTGATTCACCAAGCATTATCACTACCTTTTTTTTGGAATACAGTTATTAAAAATCAAATTTTTGGAATTTTTAAATAGACCAACACACCATATTTTCGAATTCTCGCGGTTTTTTTACTACTTTAATAGTGTTCTGTGAAGATACAGATTTCTGGTTTCCAAAAGAGAACACTCATTTTCTAATGTATATTATTCAGTGGATAATTTTTCTGAATCAAAATCAAAATTCCAACTAGTAATATTTGAGTAATTTAACTTTGTGTACTAAGTCTGTGATAACGAGTTGGAAAATGGTGGTTTGAAAATTTTAGTCATCACCAATTAATATTAACCTATCAACATTTGTAATTTGTAAAAATGGTCAAAAAATAATAAACATTATACCCAATAGTACACATATTTTATATTTTTATAAAACCAAGTATAGGGACTATTATTCTTTGCATAAACTATTTAATAACTGAAAACTACTCGTTTGAAGTTTTGATTAAGTAGAATATAAATATCAAATCATTCACTGAAAAATGTATAGTGAAAAAGAGATATTCTCAGTTGAAAAATAGAAGTTTGTACCACCACGAGACATTTTTAAGTAGCATAAAAAAAATCTGAACAAAGTGAAATTATGATGTTTTAGTTGATTTAAAAATATAGTAATATTTAATTTATTGTTTATGATTCAAATGTAGAACGATAAAGGAAATGGTCCTTATGCTGGTAGCTTTAAGCGTTCCCTTAAAAACTACTTGATTGATTTTGACGAAAGTTTCAGATATATATATAAGGAAGGTTTAGAAAATAGTTTTTGAGTGGATTGTCCATTTCCGTTGAATTAGTTCACAAATCACAAAATGAGGTACACTGACTCAGATTTGCCCACAACTGAGGTATTTACACTTAAACCTAGAGATAAATCATCATATTTTAAACTTGTTGATTTTTACAATAAATAGATACAATGTCATACTAAAATCGTGCATAGCTGATAACCATGTACCGTTGAAACAAATTATATAGATGTTACATTATGAAAAAATCTTGACCATTCAACTATCTAGTTTTTAACTACAAAACAATTATTTGCGTTTTTTCAAGTTTTCATCAATTTTGAAGAAAAGTTTAAACTTTAAACTTTCAATTATTTTTGAATAGTAATTAAGGACGTCATCAAACGATTGTATTGTTTGTAAACGGATCTATTTATTTTTACCATTTTATTCGTTTTTCCTCCCCGACTCGTTCCCCTTCCCCCACCACCACCACCACCTCTCTTCCACCCATCGAGCCGGCATTCCGGTTTTCGCGCCGCGCCGCCGCCCCCACCGGTTTCAATTCGCAACCGGTAGGGTAGGGCGACCGGAAGGTCCGCTGTTACCCAAATACTCGCGTGCTGACGACGACCGTGGTAATCGTACGGCGGACGCGCGACCGAACTACCGGCAATAACAATTAAGTATAACTCACTAATCGTGTCCGTTTTCACCCTGCTGAAGTTTAAGTGTTCGGTTTGAGGTGAAAAATATTGCAGTCAGACGTCGACGTCAACGTGGAACCTACCCGCACGCACCACCGTCGGAACCCGATCGGCGTCTAATATCGTTTAGGTGAGTACAATTTTTTTTATCGAATTTTCGTATAAAGTACTTAGAACGTGGTGTTGTACACTTTGGGCGAATACAAATTAATCATATAGGTGCGAACATAATATACCCAATTAATAATTACTATTATCGTGTAAATGTCTAATGCATACCGAGCGAGAATGGTAAACGCGAGTAACGGATTCGTAATAATATTACCATTATTATTATTATTATTATTATTGTAATAGATCACAGACGAGCATAATCGTAGACGATTAGTACGAGCTTCTGTCCGGTTCAAGACTATTATGTCTATTATCATAAATCGTACGTCCTAATGTCCTATATAATAGGTACTGGTGCATCGACACCTCCGGCAAATGATATTTAATGAAAACATCTCGCTCGACTATAATATAATAAACGCCAATGGTTTACTATGATTTATAAGTATAATGTATTAACTATTATCGTTATGTGCACGTGCTCGTAGTTTTAAAGGAAAAAACAATTTTACATCATATTATGACAACACATTATAATAATTAATATTATAATAACCACGTAGTCGAGTGTAATATTTTATTATGACATGATATCAATAATTATTGTTAAGATTTACTACGGTGAAATATTGCATAAACGCGTGGCGGACTAATCTGATTCGGTGTGGTCTCTATAGTCAAAATGTATAATTTGAATTAGGAAGGTGGCATAATGAGCAAGTACCTGTAGTGGATTTTCTTTTTAAGCCTGAATTGGCAAACAATCGATCGACCGTAATTATTGAATCGTGTGTAACGTGACAAAAAAAAAGTTAATTGGTTTCTCTCACGTTATCTAAACAATGATAATAAATAACCAAACAATAATAATTATGTGTGTTATATTGTTATATTTTTTTTTACTCTGAAAAAGCGTTTCATTTTAATTTTTTTTTTACTCCGAACCGTTCAATATAATCGAAACGGTGGAATCTGTCATGTATAGAAAACTAAGGTTCTCTAATTTCATGTTCAGATTATAATAACAATATACATTAATAAATATCTTGTGAACATGTTCTAATTAAGTACTTTACTGCCATTCTCTACTTACTATCAAATTAAGACATTTCACCCAGCCACATTAAAATATATTTTTTTTAAACTTTTAACGTTGACTTGGTCAGTGACCTGTAACAGTGTTGTTGATATTATAGAAAGTGAATGCGCGCATCACCCGAATCCCACTTAACAATTATTGTTGTTCGCGACCTTCGGAGATCTTTGATACTGCAGAGGATTTCACGTGGGATTTTGTAATTGTCGAAATGAGAATCTATAATATTATTATGATCAGCTTTTCGCGCAATATCGAAACGTTATATTAGATATATTACAGCATCTTTCAATATTGCAATACTGTCCGGTAGAAAATACCTATGGGTACAGTCACATCATTCCGACCCAGTCATAAACGGTCATCAGGCTTTCAAATTTTAAAAAAAGTACAAACTACTTATCATTATTATTGCGTATTAAACGTAAAAACGACTACAAGTGACTTAAAATATTATTATTGCGTATCTATTTGACAATATTCGCCTGTCCAAAATAAGTATTACTATATTATATTTTACTACTGTACTATATTGGCTCAATATTAAAAAACACGCTTGATACCGTAGTAGATTTTATTTCATAAACAAACCTTGAAAACCGCATTACTAGGTCTATAGTTTAACAAGGCAGGTTTGAATATAGACATATTATTTTAAGACATTCGATGTCTAGAGGTAGGTACCTACATAAAAAATATATCGACGAAAATCCAGGTTTTTTATAAATATAAAAACAGACAATTTCGTAACATTGTATATAGTATACCTACCTACCTTTATAGCTTGTCCGGAGATATTATAAAATTACATTTTACATTGGTTGACCATGGTCCACTAATTTATTACCGGTTTGAGCCACGTGATAAAATTATTAATGAATAATATACTGTCGTCTAGGTTTTAATTTTTATTCGTCCAACACGATAAGTGTGTAATGTACAAACGAGCTGTAGATTAGAAAATTGAATATTATACAAATTGTAAAAACAAAACAAATTTAATATATTATTATATAGATAATACGAGTGTAGGACTATGTAGGTACGACTATGTACTACACCAATAAATTATACGTTATTCTAAACATAGGTAATAACCTCAATTGCATAAATATTGTAATGATATCGAAACGTCGAATACGAATCTCATCTATCCACGGTTTCACCACAGACGAACACCATATATTATTAAATTATGCAGTAATACACATAATAATAATAGTATTACACAAGAATAATTTAATAATGATGTTTCTTAACTAATTCATCTTTAAATATTATCCAGAGCGAATGTAATATGTATAATAGTGACAATAATATTTATAATAATTACTAAACAATAACAATATATTTTCTAAGTATTAGAGATTAGGGCAAATGTGATAAACAGCAGGAGTTGTTTAGAAACTGCTTGTTGAATTTCCGACCTGTGAATTAGGTTGATTGAAACTTTTTCGAGCTTTTTTGACAGCTGGAGGTTTCTGATTGAAAATAAAACCATCACACTATCTTCTAATATCTCATCATAGGTCGTTTAAAAATCAGAAGTCCTCTCATCTCAATTCTAAGACTGTCAACCACCAACAGCATTTGAATTCATAGTGCAAGAATAACAACATATTAATAAATAAGTAATAACAATATTTATAACCTTAACGCCTTAAACAGACATGGAATTACCTATATTCGTACATTATACTGCTAAAAAACGTTAAAAGCATAACATAACATAACCGTTCCGTTCAATTAGACGTGTAAATTATACAGGTAATAATAATAAATTATAGTTTATACGACAAATTTAACACACAACACATATTATGAATTTATGATATTATACAAAGACTATCATGTTTTCCATAAATAATAAACTGTATTGAACAATTATTACTATATAAGGGCTGTAAAAAACAGGTTTGTGTTTAAATTATGTTTAAAAAAAATGGTTCATATTCACATTTGAACGAATAATTATGTATACTATCATAAAAAAAATATTTTCTTTAACCTAAATCTTCTAATTAATAAAAAATATATGGTATGATTAGTACTATAAATATGGCATTGAAATATTCCAATATTTTACTTAAAGATATGTGATTAAAAATATTATGGTAATTTAAAATTGACTTCAGACTTTATGAGTTATAATTATTACGTTTCGAACAAGAATTTTGTATTGAATTTTTAAAACTCTCTGTAAGACGAGTCCCATATAATATTATTATAATTTAGTACTTACACACATGATACTTATGTATAAAAAATTACTGCGCAACAAATGTATTAGGTACATGGGCATATTAGTAAATCCAAAGTCTAGTTCAAAGTCAAATGATTGTAGCAAAAGTCGGTTAAGCATTTATTGACAATGCAGACAATAAATCAATGACAACTTTTGTATTTAAATTCGATAGCTAAATATATTCTAAATATATTTTAATAAACTATATCATTCAGTTTTAATCAACTTACATATATATTATGTATATATATATAAAAGAAGACGATCTATGTAAATTTGTGAATATCCGGGCTTTATACTATTGATGACCTATATTTTCAATGTACTATTGTACTGTTTAGCCATGTCAGCTACATGCGAAAATATTTATATGTATAGGTAACATATTTTATCCACGCTTTTGACTAATGATTATAGGTGTTAATGATTTTTTAGAATAACCCCAATTCAATGTTAATATTTTTTATAAATTGACCCATATAATATATTATGACAACGCTCTGAAATGCTATTGAAATTCTTTTTAAAAGTCACATTAGATAACAATATAACAATATAGCAATATATTACAAACGAAAAAAACTTAACCTAACATAATATCTAACTTCTCTACGTCGGACTTTTGACATTGTTATATTCTACAGGTATATTATTTAAAGTTATAATCTGACATTTTCTAGTCACGATAATTTGATTTGTCTTGTATAACCATTCGTTCATTATTACAGCGGTCATATCTGTCACTTTTTTTAAGGGGAAAAAAACTCAATTTTTTAGTTAAAACGAAACCCTTTTTAATGCCTTAGGTAATTTTAAACAAACTTTAAAATTGTTTCTTTCCCCAAACTTTTTAAAGTTAATTTTGATATTTTTGTAGAATAAAATAAAATAGTTTTAATTTTTTATGTAAAAATATAAAATTACAATTTAATCAATATTGTTTTATTCAATTTCTATTTATTTACAGATAGGCATTTGATTTTCTGGTATCGAAATAATGTATAGCTAAGCCCCCCTGTTTATGTGACGTCAACAAAAAAATCTTAAATAAAACACGTTTTCTTCTTTGAACAAACTTGACCTTGCCAGTGGATAAATTTTATTCCGTTTCGAGTGTTTTTTTTTAAAATTTTTTTATTTCTTTTGTTTTCACCGGTCTTGCCTTTGTCCGCTCCAACTAATAATATTGTATAATAATATTATGCCATATGCATATTAATAGCTATTAGTATGCACACATATGACGACGCTTCAAATTTAAAAACAGTGTGTATGTGTGTGTGTGAGTGTGTGTGTGTGTGTGAGTATGTGTGGCATAAAATATAATGACATTACAACAATATAATAACATAGTTGTTAGGATAACCGTGATACAGGCAATACTAATTATTAGTAACTAATATATAACACATCGATAATATACGACTACTTCTACACGTCAGTACGTCACGATAGGTGTTGATAACCGTGTTCATAATCGATCGACATTTTATAATCGACATCGTCGCATATCTTATAATATTGTGGGCACTCTATTGTCCGTTTTAATTTCTACATCTATTCTTTCCGTAGTTAAGCGTTTTATTTTCTCCGGAAATTTTCACCACCATTGGATATTTTAATTTTATTTGGACATTTTTCAGCCCAATCCTCTGCACTTTCTCCAGCCTTGTCT